ACTGCAATCGATCTCAAAGAGCTCTTCAGAGCACAAGATGATCGCGAACACGACTACCTCCTGGGAAGAAAGAATCGCAATCCTAGAGCATGAGAACAGCAGGCTGGTCCGTTTCTCATCCCTCTCCTGCATTCACTTACCCGCCCTCCTCCCTCTTTCACCTCCTCCTCTCCCACGCTTTCTCCCACTCTTCCCTGTCATCGTCCCTTTCATCCTCCCTTTCATCCTCCCTTGAATTTTTCTCCGCAGGGCATGGAGCTTGCTGCGTGCAAGTCAAAGCTTGACCTGTTCGACGAGCAGTACAAGGAGACGAAGGCGGCAAAAAAGAAGCTCGAAGACGAGTTCGTGCTGCAGCAGAGCAAACTGCAGGTCTGCCGATGAACTCCCCTCCTCCTCCATGCCGCCTCCTCTCTACTGCTCCTCCCCCCTTCGTCCCCCTCCTCCCTACAGCGTTCCGAGCTCACGCGTGCGGGTAAGGGGTGCGAGAGGAGGAACGAGGTGCTGAAGAAGGAGAACGAGGAGGCGGCAGACTCGCTGCAAGCTCTGCTGGCTGAAGTTTGGGACCTCAAGACAAGGAACCATCACCTGACCAGCCTCGTCAAAGTCTCCGCCAGAGCTCACGGGGGGCTGGAGGATGCAAGTGCTGGTCCTGGTCTCAGAGGAGGGCAGGAGGGACAGGCAGGCGATCAGCGGCGAGTCAGGGAGGAGAGGTGAGGGACAAATCGAGTCCTGCTAGCATGACCAGAGGAGCAGGTGGCGAGCGGTGGAGGAGGAGAACGAGCGATTGCGGGAGGAGGTGAAAGAACTCTCGATGAGCCTGGCGGAGAGGGAGAGGAGGATAGCGCAGGGGAGCGAGAACTATGCGTGCTTGCAAGCGCTGTTCGACGAGCAGCAGGAGGATCGCAGGAGGAAGGAGAAGGAGACGCAGGACCAGATGGAGCAGCTCATGCGAGAGATCGCGGAGCTGCACGGCAAGAGGGAGAGGAGGGAGCAGGAGCACGCGGTTCAGTGCTCCCTCCTTGAGCAGCGAGTGCTGGAGACGATGAGGCTGATCGACGAGAACATGGACGACAAGCTTCACGCCTGCGAGTTGCTCGCCCAGCTCGTCGCCATGATCCCGATGGAGCTCAAGGAGGAGGAGGAGGAGGTCCAGATGCGTCAGCCTCCCACCAGCAGGCAGGAGGCCCTAAAGAGAACCATCTCCTCTGCCTCCACCTCCTTCCGCATGCTCGAGCGCAAGCTCTCCATCCCCTCCCCGGGCCCGACCTTCTCCAGGACCATGTCCAGCCTCCCCCTCTCTCGTCCTCCTATCGACAGCCCCAAGTCCGTCGGTCCCTCCAAGTCCCCCCGCGTCCTCCATGGCACTGCCCCGCTCCTCCGCACCACCAGCATGGTGCTGCCGACGAGGACGAAAGAGACTATGGTGGAGGAGAGCTCACAGTCAAGTTTCCTGAGGAGAATGTCGCCGGCCATGCTCAAAGAAGCGCTCGCCATAGCAAGGAAGGGGCTGAGCAGCGCACAGCAGAACCGCGAGATTGTGGTGGCGCAAGAGTCTCTGCGGATGCAGAACATGCTGCTGAGGTGGCAGGAGGAGAAACAGCAGCTGCAGGAGATGGTGAAGACTCCTCGGCCCTCTTCGCTGCTCCCTACAACCTTCTCTTCCCCCCATCCCACCCCCTCCTCGTGTTTCCCTCCTTCATCAGATCCCTTGTTCGCTCTCCACTACCAATGTCCTCCAAGACATCCTCCTCCTTTCTCTCGCTCTATCCGCGTCATCCTCTCTCTTTCTGTCTATCTTCCTCCCTCCTCATCCTCCTCCTCCCCTCCTGTCGTTCTCTTGACTTGCCTCTGACATGGCATCGCCTTTCGCAGCTCCTGAAGGCGCAGGAGGAGAAGCACCAGGTCGAGCAAGAGCTCCTGGCGTACTCTGAGTGGGAGAAGGAATGGAGGTCGTTCTTCGCCCCACTCTAGCAGCTCATCCTTCTCGCATCCGACTCCCTATCGTCCTCTTCCTCCTCTTCCTCTTCTTGCTCCTCCTTATCTTCTTCTTCCTCTTCTTCCTCTTCCTCTTCCTCTTCCTCTTCTTCCTCTTCCTCTTCTCTTCCTCTTCCTCTTCTTCCTCTTCCTCTTCTTGCTCCTCCTTATCTTCTTCTTCCTCTTCTTCCTCTTCTTGCTCCTCCTTATCTTTTTCTTCCTCTTCTTCCTCTTCTTGCTCCTCCTTATCTTCTTCTTCCTCTTCTTCCGCTTCTTCCTCCTCCCCTTGATCCTCCTGAGGGACTGACTTCGATCTCAGGCAACACGAGAAGCTGATAAAGCGCAAGATGAATCAAAACCTGCAGATAGTAAGCAACTTCGCCAACTCTAATCTTCCTCCTCACACTCATACCTGCTGACTTTTCTCACCTTTACTACTCTCCTCTCTCCCCGTCCTCTTTCTCCCTCTTCTCCTCTCCTCTCTATCCACAACTTCCTCTTCCTCTTGACTTCCCGATCTCCACATCTCCCTCCTCCTCTTCTCCTCGCTTATCTGACTATCTCTGGGCATTTCTCTGGTTACCTTCACTGTTCTCACTTCCTCTACCTTCTCTCTCCGTCTTCAGGCGTTGCGGGAGGAAGAAATGACGATGAACAAGAAATGTGAAGTAGCAGTGCAGGAGCTCTCAGTCCAGGTTACTCCTCTCCCTTCCTCCTCTCTCGTCTCCCTTCCGCTTGTTCTTCTCCTCTTCCTCCTTCTCCTCTCCCTCCTCCTCCTCTTCCTCCTGCTCCGCTTCCTTCTGCTTTTGCTCCTCTTGCTCCTCTTGCTCCTCTTGCTCCTCTTGTGCTGCCTTTCCTCTTCTCACCTGCTGTTGGTCAGATGTCAAGAAAGCTAAAAGCGGACGAGGACGTGATCGTGTCAACAGCGCAAAAGATGGCGAGAGCACCTTGTTATCCCCTCTTTTCTCCTTCCCCTCACTATGTCACATCTCATCATTGCCACTCCTCCTCCCCTTCCTTCTCTTCCACAACTTTACTCGAGATCTCATCAAATGGCTCCAACAGGTTTCAGAAAGAGATGTCGTCTTCCAGGTCGATGCCATCAAGCATCTCAGAGTATGCTCTTCTCCTTTTCTTTCCTCCATTTCTCCTTCGCTCCTCCTCCTTCACTGCTCCTCCTTCACTCCTCCTTGTCTAGTGCTCCTCCTCCTACTACTGCTCCATATTCCCCATCACACTGACTCATATCTTGACATCCTTCCCAGGAGAACTTTGCCGACGTCCACTTCATCAACGCTCTTCCCCCAGCCCCTGCTCCTCCTCCGCTCATTCCGCACTACGATCAGAAGCCGGCCATTCCTCCTCCTCGTCCTCCTGCCCATGTTCTCAGCTCGGGCATCGAGTCCCAGGAGAAGGTCAACTCTCCAAACTCTTCTTCTCCTCCTCCTCCTGCACTCATTCGTCGCTTTCAACAGGGCCTGACTGACAGTCCGGCTCCAATCGTTCACTCCGCTCGGGCAGAAGGGCTCGGCTGGTCTCCCTTCGAAGTTAGTCCTTCTCATCCCCCTCCCACTACTCCTCCTCCTCTTCTCTCCCTCCCTCCCTCCCTGACTCCCTCACTCACACTCACTCCCTGCCTCCTTCTCTCTCCTGCTCCTCCTCACGATCTTCTCATCTTCATCATCGTCGTTGTCTCCGTCTTCATGATCATCATCAACAACAACAACTGATCTCTTCCTAGTGCACCTGCGGCATGGGCTTCGGCACGCGGGCAGCGCTGGATCATCATCTTCATCAGAGCACGGAGGGGCAGAGACAAGCTCCTGCCTCTGGCGACGAGGGCCCTCCCTCCATGAGGTCCTCTCAGAGTATGAGGTGCTTCTTGCAAAACCCCCCAGCTCTTTCCCAGCTGACTCGAGCCTGGGCCTTGCAGGGTCGGAGAGGAAGTGTTCACATTGCTCTAAGTGGCCACATGATGATCTAGTTCTTCGGCAAGGAGTTTGTGAAACTACCACCGACGAAGTGCTTTAAATACCTAGGGATTCGAATCAAGCCAGCCAGTAACAAAGGCTGCCCCTTCACATGGGGAGAGAAACAACACATCTTTGAAAGAACGAGGGAGCTCACAAAAATGATTCATCCGCCTGTTCCGCAGCACAAAAGTTTTACTTGGTGAAAGTAGGCAGGGTGGGTGAGCTTCCAGAAGGCATGGAGGCGACCACCTCAAGTAGGCTACTACTCCAGGACGAGTGTTTTACCCATTTCAGATATTGAAGGCACCTTCTTCCACTTGCCTATCCAACTTTTGCAGCAGAAAACATTCTTGCGCAATATCTGCAAGCAAACGTTACCTGGGCAAGACAAGAGCATGACTTGTCCTCGCTCCTCCCCCCAGGCGTTCGCGTACAGGTTGGGAAGGGTTTGAACCATGGCCGGCTCTAGCGTGTCGTGGCGTCTTTGGCTTTTTCAGCCATCACGGCATGCCAGTGAGCTCGTTGCTAGGTTGTTCTGCCTTTAGTCTCGGCGTTTTGTTAGTCTTTAGATATCTTAAATGACTGGAAAAAGAAAATCCACCTTAACATCCCATCAACTTGTCATTTCCCGATGACATGGTCCTGATCGCACACTCGGTCGTGGAGATGAACACCCGTGGCAGCCCGGATAGCCCGGGCCCGGGACTCACTGAGGCTTTCAAAGCCGGGCCTCAGCACCGGAGCCAGACCGGAGCCTGGACCGGAGGTTGAGCGGGGATGAGGGTGGTGAATGCGCCCGCTGGTCGTTGTGGTGTTGGCGGTATGCGCAGTCGCTAGCGAAGGTGAGGAAGAAGAAGGCGGAGAAGGAAGCGAAGAAGGACGAGGACGAGGACGAGGACGAGGACGAGGACGATGAGGATGGGGAGGACGAAGAGGAAGATGTGAAAGTTGAGGAGGAAGGGATGAACGAGGACGACTATGAAAGCAAGGATTTAAGGGTGGAGGACGAGGAGGACGAGGAGGACGAAGAGGACGAGGAGGACGAGGCAAAGGATGATGAGGAAGGAATGCCGTGGCAGAGGAAGAACAATAAAAGCTGCCAGTACGTTGTGGATGAAGACGACTTCTGACTTGTTCATGATTGTGATTTTGCATGCAGATGAAGTTTTCAAGATCGTGGGGCTGGTTCCTGTGAGGAACGAGGAGAGGAGGATCGGCTTCTGCCTCCAAGCTCTCGCAGCCTTCACCGACTCCATCGTCGTGCTTGACGACTCCTCCGATGACCGGACGGTTGAGGTCGTCAGGTCCCTTGCAAGCGACTGTAGGGTCGAAAGGATTATCACCAAGGTACTTGACTTGGAAGAGTCCTGACCCTCCTGATGCTATCGACAAGGATGGCAGCTGGTCACGCAACGAGACTGCAGATCGCAACATGCTGCTGGAGGCAGGGAGGGATGTAGGGGGGACACACTTCATCGTGCTGGACGCGGTTGGATCCAGGCGTGCTCTGGCGCTTGTTCATATGATGACCGCAAGGTGTAGGACGAGGCGTTCACAGCAAACCTTGCAGAGGATGACGAGCTGAGGAAGCAGATTCTTTCCCTCGAGGTTCTTCAAGCTCTGCCCTGGGATGATTCTCATGATACAACTTGACAGGTCGGCCAGAACATAGCACTGCACTGGATCCAGCTATGGAAGAGCACACAGTACTACAGGCAAGATTTTCAGCCCTCCTCTTCGGTGTGCAGGCGTGCTTGCGGAGCTGACGAGCCGCGCAGGATAGACCGGCTGTATGACGGGGAGGGAATCGTTCATGGTACATGAGGAGGAGCTGTATGGGAATTTTCTCACTTCACAGTCATGGCAGAGGTGCTGGGATCGCAAATGATGCCTTGTATCTTCCGAGGTAGCGCAGGGGGGAGAAAGGGGAGGGAGGCTGAAGATAAGATTCAGATGATGGGACTTCCTGGTATGAGGGAGAATTCATTCACACCCGTCGGATTCCAGAGGTAGAGATGCGCATAAGTGAGATGAGAGGCTGATTTCATTGCAGGAGCTGTTCCGAGGGAGTGTTTTGCTGAGAGACATCGAGGTGATTTGAGAAGAGGAGAGGGCAGGCAGTGCGTCAGGGAGTTTGATGGAGAGAGGATTAGCAGAGAAAGAGCAGGTGTGTGAAGGAGGTATATTGAATTGCATGAACAGATTGGTCTCCTACACTTTCAATTCGTTGATTGGAGAAATTTCATTCTCAAGCAGGTAGCATCGAGGTATACGAATATCAGTTGAACATGTAGAACATGACAGGCCTGGTACAAGTGTTTTGAAAGAATTCAGCTCCCGGACAAGCCGATAGGTCATTATTGCCTGAGGACTGACTGCGACCTGTCCAGCTGACGAGCAGCAGGAGAGATCAACGTGCGGTACTCGGGCTCCCTGGACACGGTGGGCGAGCGAGTAGCGACTGTTCCCTCTTCTTGGTTCGACGGGTACTCCGACTTCTTCACTCCCGGGCTCTTCGAGCAGCTGGACAACTGGAGGATCCCAATCCTGGAGGTTGCGTGCTGTGCTGCTGCTGTTGGAGTGGGTTGTGACGCGTCTCACAGGGATGGTTCGAGGAGAAAGGTGTGAACCTGTTCCTGTCTTTCTGAACCCGACCTCCACCCTTGACGCCCTTGGCAAGGTTACGGCTACTTTGCTGAGATCGGCGCTTTGAGGATGCTGCACGAATGGCACGTGATCCCCGACTTCGACCCACCGAGCGAGATGGTGAAGCATCCGTACGAGAATTTCGACCTCCTCCGCCACAAGCTCCACTCCATCAGCTTCATCGTGCCGCCGTTGGGAGGCTTCACGAGGAGCCGATCAGCTGTAGAAAGGTGATGCTACTGACGACCGGGGTGGGATTGCTCAACTGACTTACCGTGTCTTACAGCCTCTTGTCCTCTCTGCAAGCTCAGACAGTAGGCAAGGGAAAGAAAACTTCATGGGAGGCTTTCTTCTCGGCATGCTCGGAAGAGGAGGCTGAAGTGATCAGGGGAGATTTGACTACCGTGAACGTTGTCGTAGGTATTTGTTTTCAAACGTTGAGGAGGCCAATCCTCTGTTTGGTCTTACACGGTGAATTCAGTGGATTGTTCAAACATCGGGGCATCGCTGAACAAGGTCTTGCGAGAGACGAGGTGACTGAGATGTTTCCGGTCACGTCCGCATGCACTGAACGAGAGAGGTCCTCCTGGCAGGAGCAGCGTTATCACTTTTGTCACTGGCTGCGTTCATCTTGGCAGCGATTTTGTTGAGAGGTGAGGAGTTCGATTCCTTCCACGGTCACTTGAACATGTTCACCCTTGATCTCCCGTAGGACGTTGAGGTGGTTCTGCCCCTCATGCGAGCTCGGGGAGGAGATGAAGACAACTGTAAGACACTCGAGGATGAGAGCGAAGAGCTGTGGTGACGCTTCTGTAGACGATCAACGCAATCTTGTCATATCCCGAGAGAGCAGTTCAGCTGCAGGAGGAGGGGCTCCGGGACCTGAGCAGGGTCAAGCTCCTTGACGAGGCCCTGCCGCTGTTTCCTGCCGACGCACAAGGCGAGGAAGAGCAGCTGCATGTTGCCGACTGATCTGCTGCTGCAGCAGAAACCTTCAAACCTCACTGGCGCTGGAGCGGAGGCGTCGTCTCCTCCTCCTGGGTCGGCCTGGCGAGCGTCAACGGCTTTCCGGAGGACGAAGACCTCGATCTGTTCCTACAGGTGTGCTGCTGATGGGGAAGAAGAGGAGCAGGCATGACTTGCCTCCCCAGATCGACCACTACAAGGACAGAGCAGCGATATGCAAGTTCAATCCCTTCCTCGCCCCCGCCAGCATGAACGCGACCGTGCTGTCTCGCTCCCCTCTCCTTCTTTCCCTGACTTGAAGCGCAGCGACTGGTAGGACATGAAGAATGCTCACTGTCAGAAGTCCCAGACTACGCCATGCAAGTCGATGGACAAGGTGAAGGGAGAGGGAGGGAGGGAGGGAGGGGAGGGAGGGAGGGGGAGGGAGGGGGAGGGGAGGGAGGGGAGGGAGGGAGGGAGGGAGGGAGGGG